TTTCCACGACATTCTAATTTATTGAGATGCACCTGTGTATATATATATATATATATATATATATGCATACAAGCCAAGTCAGAAAGTCAACTTTATTTCTTATTTTACTTTACACAATATATATTGGTTCACTGTAGCTTCACAATAGTATCAAATTCAAATTCTGATGTAAAGCAGCTCTAAGTCAATAGTGTCATTACAGTATACAGCTCAAGTCAGTTCAGTATTGATTCAGTTCAGTTGCATAACTGTGTAAAATTCATCAGTTGTAGTGTTTTTCATTTTTCACATCTGTGTGTAGTTTGGTGTGTATGTGGCTAATTATTTTATGTTTGTGTGTAGAGTTACTACGCAAAAATACAATTTTTAGAAAAGTTAAAATAGTTTTGAATGAAGTGTTTGCTTTTGCAAGATGTGTGTGATGTTTTGCATGTTGTGTGTGTGTGTTTTGTGTGTGAGAAATGGAGCCATAGTTTCAAAAACTAAAAACTGTGTTTTAAAAACCTGTATGACATGCCAGATTAGCACATTAGAATGATTTCTGTTGGGTGAGCGGTGAGCAAAACAACCTAGTCAAGGGATAGTTCACCCAAAACTGAAAACTGTCATTTACTCGCCTTCATGTCATTCCAAACCCATAAGTCTTTTGTTTATCTTTTGTCCCTCCATTGCTTGAAGCCAAAACTTTGATGCTTCAGAAAGTTCATAAGGACTTTGTAAAAGAAATCCATATGAATCAAGCAGTTGTTTGTAAACCAAAGAGGCCTGTTTTCACGCATAAAGTAAGCACATTTGAGCTTTTGTTTACCATATTTGTTGTGCTTTATGAATTTGCATTGATCATTGTTATATGTGAATAACAGCCTAAATTAAATCTGTTCATCATATAAAGTGATCGTGTCTCTAGAAGATGTGGAATAAACCCTTCAATTCAGATCAATTTCTTTAATTACTTATTTATGCTTCTTTATGGATCTTCATAAACTTTTTGAAGCATCAACATTTTGGTTGTGTAGACTTTCAGTGGAGGGACAGAAATATATCAATTAGTGTTTCAAAGATGAATGTCTTATGGGTTTGGAACGACATGAGGGTGATAATTTTTTTCATTTTT